AAGTCTGTCCTTGTATCTTGCTTGTGGGGTTTCTCATTTTAATTTTTGTTGTCGGACTGTCCTTGGTTTAATCTCTGGATTATCACCCAAATCTTCCTGATATAGTTGCACCCTAGCTTCTGTGTCACTAACGACCCATAGACAATCTCATCTTCATAACATCAGAGAAAACAGCTCATCAAATCAACCGCAATGCTTTATCCCAACTGATACAATCAGCAAAACATTAAGATCAAGCACAACTTGGACACTGACCGCCTGTGGTAGTCACTAGTCTATCACCCTTAAATCATTTGAATTAAATTGAAATCAAGAAGCAGTCCAGAACATGTCTGCAGTGAACAGAATTTCAATATACAGTATTTACCATTTAATGGCTCAGACAGAGTGAGGATGCAAGACCCTTGATCTCAGTTAGGTGATGGCTGAATCCCCTGACGCTGACTGACCTCAGGCTGCAAGGCCCAGATTGAGTTCCCCATCCTTCTGAATGGTTGAACTCCACAACGTTCTTTTACAGGTTTCCCACGCCCTTTCTTTAAAGATGTTCAAAATTGGGAACTCAGAAAAATACCCTTGATGACCACCTCTGCCTCTGCAGAGTGGGTCCAAAGACTGGCACAGTCAGGAGGTCTGAGAGTGCGGCGGGGGGGCATATGGGGGCGCGCTACCTTCCCGGCGCTTGAGCGATGGTGACTGGGTCGGGAGCAGGCATGGCTCTCTTTCCCCCGGTGGATCCGGGCCCAGGCTACCTTCCCAGCACTTGAGTGATGGCGGCTGGGTCGGGAGCAGGCGTGGCTCTCCTTCCCAGGGTGGATCGGGGCCCAGGCTACCTCCCTGCGCTTCTTACAGTTTTTAATAATATACAACCACCCAGACACAACACAGACACACGGACCCACACACAGACCGACACACAGCTCTGCTTGACAAATGGGTGCTTGGCCCTCATGAGTGGTTGCTCTTATGGTCTTAGATCATTGTTTGATTTTTAATGTTTCAGTTTCATGTATTATGTCATTAACAACCAGTAAGGCTTCACTGTGGGCATAAAGATCTAGAATGATGTTTCATCTCTGTGTGCCCCAGGCTAGAAGCTACCGGATGTTTCATGATGACAGCATGAAGTCCTTCTTCCGCAGACTCAGTTTCACCCCCGATGGGTCTCTGCTCCTCACCCCAGGTGCGTGTTGGCGGCACTTGCTTTAGCGTGCAAAGCGGAGTGGGGTGCCAGGCTCCCGGGCAGTGGTGTGGCCTTTAGGTCTGCACATTGCAGCCTCCCAAGAGCTTAGAAAAGGTGCTGATGCCTGTGTCCCCTCCCCAGAGACGGTGGCTTCGCAGGCCTGGGGAGGATGGCCCAGCTTTTGGAGATTTAAAAAGATTTCCAAGTGATTCTGACATTCAGTCGTTTGGGACTTGCAAGACTAGATAGAGTGTTGGGCAGTTATCGCTTAAGAAACATTTCACTGTAAGAAAATTTACTACTTAAACCTTTTCATGAGCAACTTTGCAGCAGATACTCATGTGGAAGTCAAAGCTCTAAAGCCAAAGACAAAGCATATCTTTCTGAAGCAGCCTATGACATGACAGCAGGGTCAGACAGGATGAGCGTGGCTGGGCTTCCTTGGGCGCAGGAGTGGGCAGAACCAGCAAGGCCTTTGTAGCCTCCAGCAAGGAGTGCAGATAGCATCACAGCCAGTGTCTGGTGACCCCATGGCTCCAGACCGTCCTGTGTGGGATGACGGGAGGACCCAGGTCAAGTCTGCCATGAAGAACCAGCTGGGCTGGAGGACAAGAGCCATGCATACGTGTGTGAGAGGGTCTAAAGAGCATCAGGACTTGGGCTGCCACCTTGGCGGGGAAGCTCTCAGAACCAGGAAGAAGTGAAGTAGTTGCTAGTTATTTATTAAAAGAGCATTTACTAGAGTTATTTATTAAAATATTTTTATCAAAAGTTATTTACTAAACCTAGGGATGGGCATGGTGACACCCAGCTGTAATCCCAGATCTCTGGAAGCTGAAGCAGGAGGATTGTCTTGAGTTCGAGGCCAGCCTGAACCATATAGTGAAGTCCTATATAAAAAAAAGCGATAGTAAAAAGCTTTTGTTCCTGTCTCCTGTCCTCTCCAGCAGATACAGAATAATTACATGTGAAATTACATGTGTACACATGTGTCAGGAAATAGGAACATGGAACAGGAAGCATTTCCAGGAGAACTTTGTGACAACCTCGTGGATCTGGCTCCAGCTCCAGCTGGGGACTGAGGAGGCTCTGTCACGTGAGCTGTTCTCAGACACAAGCAGGAGGCCAGGGCTGGGTCTGACAGACTGGAAACATCCAGGCTCACTCTGGGTGACAAGCAAGGTCGGGGCCTGGCTAGCGGGTGGAGTCGTGAACTCCTTCCAGAGGGTTTGCCTGGATTCTCTGATGAGAGGCTTGATAGAGGGGCTCCACTTCCTGTTCTTCCTGCCTTGGTTCCGGGGTCTGTGAGCCCCCAGGTGGAGATTCCCGGGAGTAGAACTCCAGTGTGGAGTCCAGACAATACTTGGATTTGTCTCCAGTCATAAAAACACTGTCCCAAGATAGCGCTTTAGGGAAAAGACATGTCTCTAACCAGACCAGAAGGCTCTGGAGCTTTCTGGGGGGACAGTGAGTTCTAACAGACTCTTTCCTTTCCCTCTTCTGCTGCCCAGCCGGATGTGTCGAGTCTGGGGAAAATGTCACCAACACTACCTACGTTTTCTCTAGGAAAAACCTTAAAAGGTAAGCAGGAGAGTAAAGGGAAAACTCGCCCTTTCCTTTGGCTTCTGCTGAGTGGCTGTGCCTATTTCTAAACTTCACTTACTTTCCCAGGCCAGTGGCCCATCTTCCGTGTCCCGGGAAGGCAACCCTCGCGGTTCGCTGCTGTCCAGTCTACTTTGAGTTGAGGCCAGTGGTGGAATCAGGTACCGGGACCCTTGGAGGGCATGCATGTTCCTCTAAGTCTTTGCACTGTGTCTCCTGGGAAGCATGAGAGTGTAGGTTTGGTTTAGCTTAGTTATCTTTTCTTTTTATAGAAGACTTTTTTTTTTTTTTTTTT